GGTATGAAAGTGTAGGTGATTATATGTTGATTTCATAATAGTATTGAGTACATTGGGTATTTTTTTCCATTCTTGAGATACTTTAGAATGGAAAGAATATGATCTAGCCCCATCCATGTAAACATAAAAGAGGTAAAGTCTCCATGTTTTTTTAAGGTTGTATAATATTCCATGGCATAAATATACCACAGTTTATTAATCCATTCATGAGTTGATGGACACTTGGGCTTCTTCCGTGACTTGGCAATTATGAATTGGGCTGCAATAAACATTCTGGTGCAAATATCTTTGTTGTAAAATGATTTTTAGTCTTCTAGATATATACCTAGTAGAGGAATTGCAGGATGGAATAGCAGGACTACTTTTAGTTCCCTAAGTGATCTCCATACTTCTTTCCAAAAGGAATGTACTAGCTTGCATTCCCACCAGCAGTGCAGAAGTGTTCCCTTTTCTCCACATCCACGCCATCATCTGTAGTTTTGAGGTTTTGTGATGTGAGTTATTTTTAGTGGAGTTAGATGATATCTCAAAGTGATTTTGATTTGCATTTTTCTGATAATTAAAGATGATGAGCATGTCTATAGGCCATGCACCTGTCTTCAGAGAAGCTTCTGTTCAAGTCTCTTGGCCACAATAAAATGGGATCACTTGTTCTTTTCTTATTAATTAGTTTGAGTTCTCTATGGATTCTAGTTATCAAACCTTTGTCAGAAACATAACCTACCCCTGCTACCCAAAGGAATATACAAATTTAATGCAATCCCTATTGAAGCACCACTGTCATACTTTAAAGATGTGGAAAAAATTGTACTTTGTTTTATATATGGAATCAGAAAAAAACTCAAATAGCAAAGACATTACTCAGAAATAAGAACAAATCAGGAGGAATCACGCTACCAGACCTCAGGCTATACTATAAATCTATAGTGATCAAAACAGCATGGTACTGGCACAAAAATAGAGAGGTAGATATATGGAACAGAATAGAGAACCAAGAGATGAACCCAGGCACTTATTGTCATTTGATCTTTGATGTCAAAAACATAAATTGGGGGAAAGATTTCCTATCCAACAAATGGTGCTGGGTGAATTGGCTGGCGACTTGTAGAAGACTGAAACTGGATCCACATCTTTCATCATTAACAAAAATTGATTCTCACTGGATAAAAGATTTAAACTTAAGACATGAAACTATAAAGATACTTGGACAGAGCGCAGGGGAAACACTTGAAGAAATTGGCCTGGAAGAATATTTTATGAGGAGGACCCCCCCTCCCGGGCAATTGAAGCAACACCAAAAATATATTACTAGGATCTGATCAAACTAAAAAACTTGTCCACAGCCAAGAACACAGTAAGTAAAGCTAGCAGACAGCCCTCAAAATGGGAGAAGATATTTGCAGGTTATGTTTTTGTTTTTTAAAACTACTGAACTGTTAGCTGTAATTAGAGGGAATGCTTGCCAAAATAATCTCCCTCTGTGTGTGTATGTGTATAATGCTAAAACTTTTGTAAAAATAAAGATTTTGATTTCAGAAAAAAATTATCTTTATCAGTATTTGCTTTTTTTTTTCTCTCAATAAACGACTTTAGAGTCAGTGTTCTGTTTCCCCATGTCCCGTTATGATGCATTCAATTCCTTGCAGAAAATCTATACAGTTGATTCTGAGTTTAGATGCAAAATAAGTTTGTTTTGTGGATTCCTAGGGATCTTTAATAATTGCCTAGTCCTGTAAACTGTGGCTTGCTGGATGATTTATTGAAGGCTCTTTGGCTTTCTCTACATCTTAGGGATGCTATCTGGGCAGTGCGATGTGATTATATTTAGCTACTTATCTTTATCAGAGTAGAGATATCTGGAAGTGTGACTTTTCTTACAAGTAGAAATCAAAGAATAGCAGGAGGGTAGAGATCAGCTGATTTTTTCCCCCTTACTTAATGATAGTTATAACTTTCTCAACATTTTAATTGGAACCTGGAAGTTATGGGACACATATGCATATATGCCTGATTTGAATATAACTCTTTTATCCCAGCTGGATGATTCCCTCCTTAGGAACAGAACCACACTGTGTCCCTTTTAACATAGAGCCTGGCTCATTTCAGCACCTGTGTAAAATGCATAGTGCATGTTTGTTGTCATGGTTACAGAGGTATTATTCCTTTTTAGGGCCTGTAACTGCCTTTTGTTTGCCTACTTTCCTCCCAGTTCAGACCTTCTCCCGCTGGGGGCAGAACACTGAAGTCTTCACCCTTCCTCTGGCCATGTGCTCAGCCAGGAAAAGAGCTCTTCCCAACAGGATAAAGTGTGATTACTCTGCTCACATTTCCAGGGGTCCTCTTAGACATGGGTTTGGGAAGTAATTCTAGCCAAGGAAATACTGAGGGAAATTTGATAAGTTTTTGGAAAAAAATATTCCTTGTGCTTAAGGAGAGTTATGGAGAGAGAAGCATCTCTTTCTGCTTCAGGATATTGACTCTCTTGATACTTAAAATTACCCTGTAGGATCACAGAGGGAACCCGACATAGGAGGAATACCAGCATACTTTCATACGGTCCCCCTGTCTCTTCAACTATTCTGGCCCCAGGAAGATTCTAGGATCTGGTTCTGATAAAACAAGTGCAGTTTGTAATTACACTTCATGGACTAGTCGGTCACTTGTGCAGATCTCTGCCATTTCTATTCCAGGAAATCTGGCAACACGGGGTTGCAGTAAGGGCATCATCCTTGAGGGCAGCATTGCCAGTTACAGACGCAGACTCATGTTGAAGAACTGAGACTTGAGCAGAGATGAATGAGTTTGGGGATGGTTCCTCACTCCCAAGGCTGTTGCATTACACTCGGGTCTTTAATTTTGCTGTTGACATTTTGGGCCAGTAAGTCGTTATTGTGGGGCTGCTCTGTGCATTTTAGGATGCTTAGCAGCAGTCCGGGCCTCTACTAACTAGGCATCAGTATCACTCTCAAGTTGTGACCATAAGAAGTGTATCCAGAATTAGCTACATGTCCCATGGGAGGCAAAATTGCTCCCTATTGGAGAACCATTGTGTTAGAGATAGAAGATTATTTTTTATGTGTCCATTTTGCCCTAAGACTGTGGAAGAAGAGACAGAGTTCTGTCATTGTCTTAACCACTTTATATTATAGTGAAAAAAATAGAATGAATTAGTAGGTTGTTCAAATCAGTCCTTTCAACCATAGAACGAGTATTTTGAGCTCAAATATAGTCACTGCTTAAATTCTTTACCCTTAAAAACATCAGTAGAATAAAAATGTCAGAATCACATTATTTTTAATCTTACCCCCAAAGGTTGAATAACCACCAATTTAACAAATAGCCTCTAATATGAAGATGTTAAACTGACTCAGTGAGGCTTCAATTTGCCCCTGTTAATAGATTCATCCAGCAATTCACACTCCCTTTGAACATGAGAAAAGCTGACCTGTAAGGCCAGTTCTGATGTGAACAGAATCATGCCTGAATAAGTTTGTATGCATGCCCATTTTATTTTTTAAAAGGAAATGTTAATTAAGATATTATGAGCCAGAGTTATAATAAATGCTACTGTCAAAGTGACGAAACTCTCCCCATGCCTGTGATTTAAACGTTTGTGTCCATTTTGCCTACAAGGCAGGGTCTTTACTTTTTGTGTGGTTAGGGCGTTGCAACATGCTAGGTACATAGGAGACATCCTACACATGGTAGATAATAAATATCTGAGTGGATGTTGCCAATTTATTGAATGTCTGAAAAGAGGCTTCAGGTAAAGATTTAAAATAAAAGCAAACATATAAAGTATCTTTAAAGCCGTAAAAACTGTGTATTTTCAAAAACGAAGTCAGGTAGTGATCTGCAGTGGTCGCTTTCATCCTCTCCTCTACCCACTGCTACCTCTCCACTTACTGAGTCTGTTCATTCTGCCTTTGGAATCACTCTCAGGCTTGTCTGTGTCTCTGCATCTTTGGCTTCTTCAGGAGTGCAAGCCACTGTCTTTTTTTGCCTAAGCTCATTTCATCACATTATACTTTTCCTCCTCCTATCCATTTTCCCCAGAAAGCAGCCAAAATGCACTTTTTAAAAAGTGAACATTTGAAACGTGATTGAGTCACTCCTAAGGCTTAGAGCTCCACAGCATGCTTCTCTTGTCCTTGGGATGTCATCTAAAATCTTAATCTCTACAAGAATAGGATCAGGTCTGTTTTCTTCTCCAATATGTGCACCTTACTCAGTGTTCACCTAGCGTGTAGTTTTTAGCAGCTATGCCAGTGACAAAGTGGAATTCGCCTCAAAGATGGGACTGTACCAGGCCAACAACATAAATGTATACTCTGTCTTCCGCACGTGGACTAGTTAAACCTGGGATAAGCATTTAATGTTGGAAGTAAGTGGTAATGATTTGCTCCTAATTCCCAGAGAATGCCATAGTGGAGAGGGTAGAACTAGAGATGAGAACTGGCTACTGGTCAGGTACCTATGCTGATCCGAGCCAGGGTGGATTTTGTCTTTGCCTTGCAGATAGAAAAATGAACAGTATTAAGTGGTTACATAGACTTTCCATCTGTTCACAACTAGTGGAGAAACACAAGGGTTATTTTTTTTTAAAGTCTTACCTACTTATTTATTGCTTTGGAGTCTATTCAGATTATTACAGATCTTGTCTTACAGCTTAGTAGCTTTTTTGGCCAATAGGATTTTAGTATGCAGTGTACTAATATAAACTCTTGGATTGGCTTAACTATCTCTGATGTCACAATTTCCCTCTGAGGAAGTCATAATTTTCTTGACATACACTGCACTATTAACAACTCTTGTTATTTTGTTTCATTGTAAGAAAGATAAACTACCAAAAATAAAAATGCTGGAAGGAACAAGATATCTTTGATCCATGCAGATCTTTTCCACGTACATGCTGCAGTAATCGGCTGCTGGCACTAGGAGCTGCACCTTTACTTTCTTTCACAACTGATGTTGTTTTGTTTTTCATGTTTGTCAGTTACTAGGCAAATGGAGGGATGAACCTACGTAGAATCACTCCTTCAACTCATAGTTGTGTTTCATCTCAACTATTAAGGCTTAGCGTCGTTCTACTGCTCAGCCTTCATGACTCAAGAGGAAAAGCCATTTGGACCGCGCACCTGAATATAACATTTCAGGTGGGAAATCGGATTATATCAGAATTAGGAGAGAGTGGAGTGTTCGGGAATCATTCTCCTCTGGAAAGGGTGTCTGGTGCGCTGGTACTTCCTGAAGGATGGAATCAGAATGCGTGTAATCCTCTGACCAATTTCAGCAGGCCTGAACAGGCAGACTCGTGGCTGGCACTCATTGAACGGGGAGGCTGTACTTTTACACATAAGATCAACGTGGCAGCAGAGAAGGGAGCGAATGGGGTGATCATCTATAATTATCCAGGGACAGGCAACAAGGTCTTTCCCATGTCTCACCAGGGGACAGAAAACATAGTCGCTGTGATGATAGGCAACCTGAAAGGCATGGAACTTTTGCACTTGATTCAGAAAGGAGTCTATGTGACGATCATCATCGAAGTGGGGAGAATGCACATGCCCTGGCTCAGCCATTACGTCATGTCTCTGTTCACCTTCCTGGCGGCCACCGTTGCCTACCTGTTCCTGTACTGTGCCTGGAGACCTAGAGCGCCCAATTCTTCCACCCGGAGGCGAAGACAGACAAAGGCAGATGTGAAGAAAGCCATTGGTCAGCTTCAACTGCGAGTGCTCACAGAAGGAGACAAGGAACTCGATCCAGATGAAGATAATTGTGTTGTTTGCTTTGACATATACAAGCCCCAAGATGTAGTACGTATTTTAACTTGCAAACATTTTTTCCATAAGGCATGCATTGACCCCTGGCTTTTAGCCCATAGGACATGCCCCATGTGCAAGTGTGACATTCTGAAAACTTAAGCAATCCAGAGAATCTTCAAATAATGTAACGAGATCTTCCTAAATCTTAAGATTAAGTGAATTCTCTCATTGCTTTTCACATAAAGAGAAAATTTCACCTTCCCTATCCAAGTACTAAAGAGGGTGAAATTTGTGTGTTTTAAAAATAAAACTCTGTATCACACCCAGCTATTTGAACTTGTCTTTCTAGTCAGCTTTAATTATTAGTCATTTTTGCCTTTATCCAAATAAGGGTATTAGTATATGTTAAAAATAATTTTGTCTTCAAATTATTATGATTATGACATTGCCATGGAAAGTTAATCCTAATTTTTATACTTTGTTTCCATATTTTGTTTAATTTCACTATCTAATAATTTATATCTCTGATTTCCATGGTTGATTAATTTCATTAGTACCCGGGAAATACCGTTTCCAAAACTACTGTTCGGATGGGTAATGGATTCTAAATAATATTTTAGATGATAGTACTTTGGGTTATTTAACTAAAAGTGTTCTAAATTATTATAGGCCTTATTTAAACATTATAGGCATTGTAAACATTCACCTCTGTTTTCCAGAGCTCTTTAAATCCTAGTATCATGCATCAGGCTATGGTAGCAGATTTCCAATCTGGAATTATCTCTAGTAAAGTCTTCTCTTTTCTTCTTCAGACAGAAATGAGTGTTTCTCTGGGACATTGTGATAACAGACCAGAGCTGAAATTTTGTGTGATTGCCTTTCCTTATTGTATCTTTTGCCTTATTTCTTACATCTTCCTCTTTTCTAGAAAAGAATAAACACCTATGTAGCACTGAGAGGCAGAAAGATGTGTGTTTTGTTGTACTGATGGAAATCTTGTTCTGGATGATATGTTAAACCTTTACTGTCCAACTCAGAGGGCATTTCTGAGTCTACCCACTGTGTACTACACTTGTCTTGAACAAACAAAGGTGGGGGGTTATGTGCAAACAAATCAGATTCATGATCTTAGGGAAGGCAAATTATCCAGTGCGTACCAAAGGTTTCACATCAGTATTATTTTCTTTTTATGCCACTTTTGGTTGGACCCACAGGTTCCTTTGCTTCTTCCTCCTTCCTCCTCTTCTAGCAAATTACCACGTTGAAGATTGACATTTCATCAGAAGTACCAGCTGCCCTAGTCCTGGTGAGACCCGACCAAAAATGTCTCTTAGCATGCTATATATAAAGGTCGGAGACATTTATGTTCAAGATTGAAATGCTTGGATTTGATTTCCTAGCAGATGAAAAAACCCACAGAGGTACACCCCCCAAAAGTGTGTCAGCAGCCGTAGTAGCTGCCCATGCTTGGTTAGTTCACACGCTATCCTTTAGCTTTCAAGTCATGTTGTGCCACTGACATGAGAGTAGCAAAATTATAGGCAGCGTAGACAGTGCTGGGGAGCAGCTTTCAGCAGGGATGATGGCTGAGTTTGGCAAAAAGTTTTGTTAAAAGCCTCTGCATGAGACCTTTAACAGTTGACGCTGTCATTGGTTAACTTTAAGTGGGGACTTTGAACTTTTTAAAATCAGTAGTTACACTTTAAAGAAATGAATTGTGCTAAACTAATACTTCTATATTTACTTATACCCTTTCTACTCTTCCCTCACAATATTATTTGATTAAGAAGAGATTAAGAAGAGATGTCAGGGTGAAAAATATTTATTTCTTTAAATATTAGTCTTTTCTGGTTTTACTCCTGTCGGACATAGTCTGTAGGTCCCAGTCATCATAAGAGTGAGAAAATGTGAGGTAGAAAATGTGAGAAAGTAGATTGAGCGGAATCCTCTGCTTTTAAAAATAAAAACACAAAACCAACCAATTTTTTTTTTGTTTTTAAATTTAGTTAATATTATAATGTCTTTTTAAAAATTTCAGATTAATATATGGGTACAAATGATTTATTTGCACTTATTAGATAAGGTCCAAGTTATAGTTGAGCCCTTCACCCAGACATTGTACCCATTATGTGAAGCTTACCAAATCTCCTGTATCCTCCTCCCCACTTGAATTTAATTGTGTTTATTTCTTGTGTGGGTATGTAGTTGTATCAGCCAACTTCTAAGCAAGCTTGAATTAAATAAATATAATATGATGGTTTACATGATAAATCAAAAATTAGCATTGTGACCAAATGGGATACAAAAGTCATGTCACTGAGCTTGCCACTTTGACCTCACATTGGGCTATAGTGTTAATTTTTAATTGTCACTCTCTTTCTTTTTTTAACTTTCCATTTATTTAGAAATATTTTATTCACTTGTGAAGAACAATAATAATATATCGTTCTTGCATATGCTTTCAGTTTTTAAAGAGCAAGTACTGTATAAATTTTTAAATTATATTTTACTTTAGTATGCTACCTGCTACTATTATATGTTGCTGAGTTATCAAAGCCATTCTGTAACAACCTAGAAATCACTCATAACAATATTGGAAACATTTAAGCCAATAGGTTTGCAGTTTGCTCTAAACTGTTCTCTAATTGGCTGCTTTGTTTCATATGTCATAATCACATCACACCACAGTAAGTGGAGTCTAGAGTTACAGTAGTGAGACAGGGGTTTATTTTTCAATCTAAAGTTTTTCTCTTTCTCTCTCAAATAAAACATCTGAAACTCAAAATACATCTTTAAGAATTGCTTAAGAATCATGTTGGAAGACAGTGGATCTTGTTTTCATCTGGAACCTTTTTTTCTTTTCATTATTTTAAATTGATTTTCAACAGATGTGGAAGCCACATCTGTTGGGTTGGTTCTTAAGTCACTAGGCGAAGAGAGAGATGAATCTACTCAGGACTGACACTTGGAGAAACAACAGCGCGTCTTCCTTGCTTATCAAATTCAGTTTTCTTTGTCTGTTTAGTCACAACTGTTGCAGAGCTAGTGCTGTTTGGACTGCTTTCATGAACATATCCTTTCACGTTGGGAATCGCATGTTGTCAGAGTTAGGGGAGTCTGGAGTATTTGGAAGAAACTCCGCGTTGAAGAGGGTGACAGGAGTTATAGTACCACCAGAGGGAAAAATCCAAAATGCATGTAATCCCAATACCAGTTTCAGCCGAGCAAAGAACTCAAACTCCTGGCTTGCACTTATTGAACGGGGAGGTTGTACCTTCACGCAGAAAATTAAGGTGGCAACAGAGAAAGGAGCCAGTGGAGTGATCATCTACAACTTTCCAGGAACTGGCAACCAGGTGTTTCCCATGTCTCATCAGGCATTTGAAGGCATTGTCGTGGTTATGATTGGTAACTTAAAAGGCATGGAAATTTTACAGTTAATTCAGAAGGGAGTTTACATTACAGTTATGGTGGAGGTGGGGAGAAAACACATCATCTGGATGAATCACTATTTTGTCTCTTTTGTGATTGTCACAACTGCTACCTTAGCATATTTCATCTTTTACCATATTCGGAGACTTTGGGTAGCAAGGATTCAGAACAGGAGATGGCAACGATTAACAGCAGATCTCAAGAAAGCATTTGGCCAGCTCCAAGTTAGGGTATTAAAAGAAGGAGATGAGGAAATCAATCCAAACGGAGATAGCTGTGTAGTTTGCTTTGAGCCTTACAAGGCTAATGATACAATTCGTATTCTGACTTGTAAACATTTTTTCCACAAGAATTGCATTGACCCCTGGATTTTAGCCCATGGCACATGCCCCATGTGCAAGTGTGACATTCTTAAAGCATTAGGGATTCAAGTGGATGTTGAAGATGGGAGAGAATCTTTGCAAGTTCTAATGTCCAATGAATTGCCTGAAACCTTATCACCTGTTATGGAGGAGACAAATACTGATCATCCTCCTGAAAGAAGCTCAAATAAAGTACTGCATGTAGAAGAGAACCTTCCTTCACAGAGCAATGACAGTCAGCCTAACTCAGTAGTGCAAGATGTTCATCCTTCACCTTGACCGCTTGACCTCTGAGGAAGTGGATTAAACCTGTTTGTCAAATCAGGTCTAAATACTGACAAGCAGTTTGTCTGTTTGAAGTGTGGTTTTGTGTCTTATTGTTGCTTTGGTAATGTTCTATATTCTTGTGAAGCCTCAAAGACAGAAAAAAGGCCTAGCAGGATTTTTTTTTTGCTTAATTTTTGACCTTTTCTATATATAACTTTTTGCTTGCTTATGTGACTCCTGTGAGGATACATATATTTATTTTTATGTTAATGTGTGCATGTTAAAATCAAGTACAAACATTTTTTCCCTAAATATATTCTGTATGTATATATTGGGCTTATTTTGGTAAGAAAAGTGTTAATATATTTGTATGTTCTTTATACTATAGGAACTATCAATTAAATTTGAAAACCATGAATTTATGTGCTGAGAAGAGTAAAACTTATCTTTTGACAGTTTATTTATAGTATAATATATTAGTTTTGAAGTCATTGTGGTATGTTTTGGGGTTTTTTTTCATTCTTGGAATGACAATTTTTTTGTACCAAATTTTACTCTTATTTTTGATAAACAGTTCTGTTCAAGCAATTAGTACATTTTATGTGGTCTGCATAATGAGAGCAATTGTAAAAATAAAATATTAGCACTCTTTAAGTGAACAGCGAGTATTTCGATGCCCAGTGTAACTTACCATAATTGTTACGTATTCCTAAACATAGGTTTAATGATAAAGAATTCTAATGATATTTAGTCAGAACGTCTTTACTTCTATGTGTTCCTCTTCCCTATTCCACAATTTATTTTTTCCATTAAAGAAAAGGTTTAAAATATGCCGAATTATTTTGGAGACAAGTAAAACAATGTAGAAATTATTGTTGGGACCTCTTGGGATCCCATTTGTTTAGTCAACTGTATTCATGTTTGTTCAGTTCACCTCAGGTCTAGTACAGCCCCGGACGCTCAAGTGCTTCTGAATAAATGAATGAAAACATATCAACATCTTTTTCATAAGTCAACTATTATGTGTTAATATGAAAACTGAACTGTTTATACCAATCACACAAAATAATGGGATATGGATGCTGAACATTTTCATTCTAAGTACTTTGAAAAAATGTTAAATGATTATATTATCCAGAATTCATTATTACAATTTAGCATGCGTAACTTTAATGAGTAGCTTTGAATTGCCTAAGGCTGATACATGGATTTGAATGTCTCTCAATCCTGGAGAGAAACCTAGCAGAAAGGAATTTTGTGGGTTTCTTACTGCTAGCAGTACTGGAATCGAGACACAGGCAGCATGGCCATTGGTGGCTGTGACTGCAAACCCAAGGAAGACGAGTTAAAGGAGGAGAGGCACTCGTCTAAGGCCAGGAAGAATCAGGACACAGTAAAAACTGGGCAGATGACCAGATGGGGACAATACCTTGCTTGGCAAGCACAGGCCATTTTATGCCCAAACTTTGTTAATCACCAGAGCTATTTTTTAAAAGAACTGAATAGCTCCAGGGCTGCTGGAGAACTTAGCAAGGCCACTCCTTTTGAGTGTCATTTTGAATTCACCCTGGGAGAGTAAAG